TGCAAAAAAGGATGGATAATAACAATAGATAAGAAATGTCACCCATTTATTGGAGATTCTTTAGCTGTCGGTAATGAATAGTGTGATGATCATAATTAAATAATGTATGATGGTTGTTATCTTTCCCAATACTAATGTTAAAAATCATGTATGATATGCGAATTTGGTGTGTGTATCAAATGTAAGGAGGGAAATTATTAATCTTAGGTACAGAAGAATGTGATGATGGTAATCTGATTCCTTATGATGGATGTTATGAATGTAAATTTTCATGTGAAGAATAATGTACTAATTGTGAAAAAGGAGTTTGTTAAGCCTGTAATAAATCAGGATGGATTCTTAATCAATATCATATTTGTACTACTTAATGTGGGGATGGCATAGTTATAGATCCATATGAGTAGTGTGATGATGGAAATGATATTCCATACGATGGTTGTCATTAGTGTGAATTTTAATGTTCATAAGGCTGTATTGAATGTGAATAAATGCAGTGTAAGAAATGTGATTTGCTATATCAATTGGATATTAAAACATTTGAATGTCTAAAGAAAAACAACTTCAATAATGATGAAAATGATTAAATAGTTGATATCTAAAATATGAATTTAACTAATCTAAGATGTGGAGTAAATTAAATTTTAATTGATCATGTATGTATTAATTAATGTGGAAATGGAATATTAAACAATTAATATGAAGAATGTGATGATGAAAATAATTATGGAGGAGATGGATGTTCTAATTTATGCTAAATTGAAGATTCTTATCAATGTATGAATTAATAAGGCTCATTAAGTTTATGTACATATATTCTAGCTCCTGAATTTAGTTTAAATATTCTATCTGAAAACACTAAATAAACTCAAATTGTTGAGTTAACTTTCACTTAATAAGTGAAATTAAGAGAAATTCTAAATTTAGAAGAAATAATGGTCTTTACTTTAACTCCATCAACTCGATATCATTTAGTCACAAACAGTATTTTTAATTTAACAAAAACCTTAGAAAATCCTAAATATTAAATTTAAATTGAATTTATGGAGCCTATATATCATCCAATTTTACAAGTTGAAATTCAAAAAAATATAATATTTAATCAATATGAATTAAGCTTATAGAATAATAACAAAACCATTAATCTTGGCACTCCATTTGTACTCTCAGAAACAACTAAATAACAAGTAACATCTATAGTTTAATTAAATGATGTTATGATGTATTC